AATATTCCATTTTCCTTTCCTTGTGGTTGAAAAACCACAGTGAGTGGAGGAGTGTTTGAAGCCAGGTGATGTCTAGGCTTTAGCATTATTAGATGTTAATGGCATTGTTTTTGTCATGTGGCTGTTTCCAGAAATCCAACTAGAGCATTTGCCTCTGAGAAGTCACACTGGCCATGCAGACTCTGGCTGCTGTTAAATTTCTGATGTTTCTGTGAAATCCTCAGAGTGCTCAATCCTACTCAGCAGTACCGTTACAGTTTTCTGTAAGAGAAACTATTACTTATTTATCTTAGTATTCTTGACCTGTCAATATAATAAAAATTGGAGCCAAGACGTAAATGTGAGTGTTGTGCTGGTTTCTGTTCTTTTACGTCTGTAGGCGACTGAGATCTTTCTCCTCTGCCCTCCTCCCTCCACAATGGGGAGTGATCAGCTTTAAATGTTCTCCGGGCTTTCACCTTTTGTTCTGTGGAACACCACCAGGTGGGACAGTGGGCTGTCAATCTCACCCCTCGATGTCTCACTGACAAACCCTGCAACACAGTACCAAGTATACGTACCCCTTAGAGCCAATGTTTGGTGTTAAGATGGAATTTTGTTATAAAAACTGAATTGTTAAATACCTCAACTGTCAGTCTCTCTGAATGTACAGATGCCTAACATATACACCTGTTTTAACTGGCACCTCTGATGCCTTGACTTCTGCCCTAGAAGTACTCAAAGAATTACTTGCTTGAATTACATCTGTTTTATCATGTAAATGTGTGTCTTGCTGTTGCAAATATGCATTTCAAGTATCAGAAAAGAATGGGAAAGGGGTTGGGAAGACACAATAATTTTAGACAGAATGAATGTGATGATTCCAAGAAAGGTATTCCACTGAATTTTCTGGAATTTCTGGAACCCGTGACTCCTTAGGTCTGGACTAGACTGCGGCTTCCTTGCTCCTTGCCTGTGCACATATGTAACACCTAAGGGCTAGAGACAGAAATTGGCTACTCTGTCATCAGTGCAATTCATTAGAGAGACAGTGGCTTCATCAAATGTTAGATCCATCCACACAAAGAGTATACCTGCTTCTTTGAACACATGTATGGGGATGGTTCCTTTAAACTATCAGTTGTGACACAGGCAGCCTAATTTTGCTGCTGTGAGTGCACATCAGGGGTTGTTTCTAATCTGAGAAGAGCCATCTGGTGTTGTTACCACTCACACTTCTTTCAGGAGCTAATCTGTTTCTCATCTTGACGGAGGGGGAAAAGATCCCTTGCATTTACCCTCTGGTGTGGGTAGAGGCGCCCCACCCTGGCTGTTATGAAACTCAAGACAGAATATAAACTGCCTTGAGAACAATGGATCAGAGAGGAAGGAAGGGGGCTGGCCATGCATGGAGAGTAGACTTGAAAGACGCGCCGCACACATGGTCAGTGTAACTGGAAGGTCTTTAACGAATGCATTAAGAAGTCTGTTTGCTGTAGCCAAGTCTATGTTTTGATACTTTAATAAAGAAAAAGCTGTATGTGCATTTATCAGTAAGTCGTTAGTTCATCTTGTTTCACTTTAGTAACAGAGGAAAGGTTGTTGGGGGCTGAGAACAAACTCAGATGGAGCTGCCACCTACAAACACCAGTTTGACAAGGTCTGTCCTGGGTTGCCTCCTGCTCTGTGGTGACATCACACTGTCAGGGCATGGAAAGCCACACTCCCCCCATCTCTTGCTTCCTCCTGTCCTCTTGCCTGACCCTGAGCTCTGCCTGACATCTGTTTCAGAATAAAGAATTTTAAAGGGTTATGGAATTAAACCCTTTCACTTTCAAGAGCTAAGATGCCATTGATCTCTCATCTGTTCTAATTTCTCCCCACAAACCCATAGGAAGCCTTGCCCCGTACACTCTGGGCTTCAAGTACAGCTTTGCCATTGAGCATGCTTCTGTTCTCAGATTGGCTTGCTCCAGAAGATTTTCTAGATCTCAAACCAAAAGCTGCTCTCAGGAAGGAGTGCACCCTGGAGGAGGACTAATGATAACAGCAGCTGCCATGAACTGAGCAGGACAATATGCTAAACACTTCCTGTGCATGATCCTGTTTAATCCTTGCCATTGTCATTGTCCCCATTTACTGACAAGGCAGCCACTTGCCCAAGGTCACACAGTTTTGAAAACTGAAGCCTGTGTTTTTCAACCATAATGGTTCCAAACAGGAGTATCTATTTGTGTATGTGTGTGGTTACAGTAAGAACAGTGTACACTTAGCACTGTACCCATTTTAAAGTGTACAGTTGAGTGGCAGTATGTATATTCACAGTGCTAAGTAACTACCATCATGTTATTGCAATCATCATGTTATCTGGTATTCCATCATGGAATACCAGAACCTTTCAGTACCATAAAAGGAAATCCTGGACCCATGAAGCAATTATTCCCCATTCTCCTCTATTAGCCCTTGATAGCCAGTAGCCTGCATGTCTCTATAGATTTAACTAATATGATTATTTCATATAAGTGGAATCATACGGTATGTGGCCTTTTTGTATCTGGATTCTTTCACTTATTCTTTCACATATTCAGGGTTCTTCCATGTGGTAGCAAGTGTCAGCACTTCATTCCTTTTCATGGTTGAATATTATTCCATCGTCAGGATACTCTGCATTTTGTTTGTTTATCTATCTTTTGATGGGCAGATGTATTTTTACAGAGTAGCCTTTATCCTCAGGGAATGAGCATCTAAAGGTGGGGTTTCAGGCATATCGAAGTGAGAGAGAACATCAGGAGCAGGGAGTCCTTCTCAGAATTTTCATCAACAGTTTAGAGATCACTTATTCTGTGGCTGGAATGGTGACAAGGCAGCAGGTGCAATGCCATGCGCTACCTATAGATATACATGGCTTCCAGACCTCTGCTGCCTGGTGGGAGAGAGGATAGGGCAGGAGGGCACCCGAGAGGCTCCTGGAATGGAGGGCTCACACATCCCCTCCTGCCCCCTGCACCTGCCCTCAGGGAAGGTGAGGAGCAAGACAGAGGGACTTGAAAAGAACAACCAGGTCTGGGGCTGGCCCTGTGGCACATTGGGTTAAAACCCCAGCCTGCAGTGCTGGCATCCTATATGGGCACCAATTCTGGGCCCAGCTGCTCTACTTCTAATCCAGCTCCTGGCTCCTGACTTTGGATTGGCTCAGCTCTGGTCATTATGGCCGTTTGGGGAGTGAACCAGCGATGGAAGATCTCTATCTCTACCTCTCTCTGTAACTCTGTATTTCAAATAAATAAAATCTTTTTAAAAAGTAACCAGGTCCCTCCCACAGGGTGCTTGTAAAAGCACAGTGGTGGGAGGGACTGAGGTGGTCCCTCGGACATTTTAATCCCCAAGTAAGCCCAGCCACTGTCAGAAGGAGTTGTCCTATGTTCCTCACAACATAGAAGGGTACTTCTAAAAGGTTTAAGGAAAATGGAATTAACAGAGAAGTTTATAGTTTTGAAATCCAAGCATAGCTTCTTCATTTTCCATGAACTTTTTGAAGACACCCTCCACCCACAACATACACAGAAAGAGTCAGTTATGGAACTTCCCATAATGCACCAAATGGGTGTTCTTGAAGGCTGTGAAGCCAGTCTGGTTTGAAAACATGGCCAGCCACTTCACCCTACCTTGTGAGGCAAAGTCCTATAGTGGTTCAGAAGAAAGGCCGTAGCATGAGCCAGAGCTGGGTTTGAATCATGCCTCTTATTATGGTGTGAACAGGATTTGAGCCCCAAATCATGCATTTAAACCCTGAAGCCTTATGTTAACAGTTAATAGAGCAATGTTAATGGTTATAGATTGAAGGTGGATGCTTGGTCCAATGATGGTGTCTGGAAGGTGTGCCTAATGGGGGTCTCTGGGCCACTGGGAGCTTGCCCTCAACAGCGGTTTCCAAGAGAGAGCTGGTGTGCACTTGGGTCCTCTGCTCCCCACCTCAGCACATGACCCCTCCTCCACATGTGTGCACATCCAACTCCACACTACTGGGGACACCACAGCTTGGTGTCCTGTGAATCTGGGAACGTCCCAAGCCTTGAGTGGAAATAAACCGTTCCCTTATAAGTTAGCACCTCCCTGGTATTTCAGTTGTAATAACAAAGAAACTGACTAATATACTTCCACTACCTATTAGTTCTGTGAATGTGGATAAACCACACAGCCTCAGTTTCTTGCCCTGTTTAATGAGGACAGTAACAATAGAATCAAACCCAGTGGGACTCTACAGCAACATGCAAAGAACGTACTGCAGCAGCCAAGGAGCAGCAATCATCAATGTTAATATTGAAAGTTAAGGTTCTGGGGCTGGCACTGTGGCACAGTGGGTTAGAATCCTGGCCTGGAGCACCGGCATCCCATATGGGCGTTGGTTCTAGTCCTGGCTGCTCCTCTTCGATCCAGCTCTCTGCTAAGGCCTGGGATAGCAGTGGAGGGTGGCCCAAGTCCTTGGGCCCCTGCATACACATGGGAGACCCAGAAGAAGCTCCTGGCTCCTGACTTCAGATCAGCTCAGGTCCAGCTGTTGCGGCCATCTGGGGAGTGAACCAGCGGATGGAAGACTTCTCTCTCTATCTCTACCTCTCTCTGTAACTCTTTCAAATAAATAAAATAAATCTTAAAAAAAAAAAGTTAAGATTCTAATGAAAGATCATCACCAATGTTTACTGAGGTTGTAGGGAATGGCGCACCAAGGAATAAGCACCAAGATCACCAAACTAGGTTATTTGATAAAATTAAATCATAAACTCAAATGGTTCAAATTTAGTCCACTTTGTCTTGCCACTGAATCTTTTGAATTTGGGGGCAAGGGAGATGATAGCCCCACACTAAGTTTTTGCTGTTTGAAAAAAAAAATTATTTTGGCACCCACCTAAGTCCCCGGCAGAGTGGCCCTGTCCTTTCTGGGGACAGCTGGGGGGTGAGAACAAAGGGGTATGTGACAGTGACAGGTCACAAAGGGCAGCAGAGGATAAATATGGCCGCGCAGAAAGGGCTGCAGTCTGTAGACTCTCAGGGAGACAAAAATCAGAGGAGGAGGGGAAGAGGGTCGGACCCAGAAGAAAACCTCTCTGGAGCCCACACTGCATCTCTATACTGTTGGAGATTCAGTCTGGGGTCCAGGTACCCTTTAGCCTCCCCTCATCAATCATCTGTGCTCCCACCCCTCGCCCAGCCTCTGGGAGGCTCTGAGGTACAGGGGGACCTGAGGGTGCGGCAGGATTGAGCCACCTGCTGCAGTGCCACCCTGGAGATCCAAGAGCACCACTACTCTCTCATCTGCCAACAAAGCCAAGGAAGCCCCCGCGACGCACCTCGCCAGTGCTGCCGCCGTGAGAAAAGATGACCTCGAGCAGTGAGTGTCTGTTACCGTACTACACGGCCCAGAGCGGCTCTGGAGTGGGCATGTTCAACACCGTCATGGGGAAGCTGCAGCGACAACTGTACAAGGGGGAGTATGATATATTTAAGTATGCACCCATATTTGAGAGTGACTTTATCCAGATCACCAAAAGAGGAGAAGTGATCGATGTGCACAACCGCGTCCGCATGGTGACCGTGGGCATCGCGTGCACCAGCCCTCTCCTCCCACTACCTGATGTCATGCTGTTGGCCCGACCAGCCACCGGCTGTGAGGAATTTCCTGGACGTGGCCAAGCCACCAAGGGGAAAAACCGTAAAGGTTCCAAGACCTTGGAGCTCACCAGGCTCCTGCCCTTGAAATTCGTGAGGATCTCTGTACATGACCGGGAGAAGCAGCAACTTCGCCTGAAATTCGCCACCGGCCGTTCTTGTTACCTGCAGCTGTGCCCCCCTCTTGAAGCCCGGGAAGACCTCTTTACCTATTGGGAAAAGCTGATTTACCTGCTGCGACCACCCATGGACAGCAACAGCAGCACCTATGCCATTCCAGCTGAGGACATGATATGTATGCCCGTGTTTGAGGAAGACAACAGGTCCACTCTGACAGCTGCGGAGTTCCAAGGAAAAGGGGACCAGGACCAGGTTAGCATCCGGAGCCTCCACATGGTCTCTGAGGTGAGTGGGGCTACCTCAGCTGCTTATGCTGGTGGGGAGGGGATCCAACAGGACTCCCACAAACCTGCTGCTGTGTTGGGTGTACCCACCCCCAAAACAAAATATCCAGAGCTTGTCAAAGAGTCAGACACAGGGATAACTGAGGCGGCGGAAGCAGGGGTAGCAGCCAGGACCTCAACAGGCACTTTGAGCGTGGCAGCCGTCAAGTCTGCAAGCTCTGGGCAAGGAGGCACAGCTGCAGCAGGAGGAAGCCAAGGCAGCATCCTCATCGCAGGCACTGCTAACATATCCCCCACGAACATTAAGGTGGCCGTGGCAGGTGCTATTGGCCAATCCTCAGAGTACCTTTCCAGCCTTTCCACTAGCCTCTCCCCAGGGGGCAGCTCCAGTGTGGCCATTGCAGGGGTTGGACCTACCAGCAACACTGTTGCAGAAATCATTAATGACCCTGCAGAAGGTGAAACGGTCCTGGGTGAAAGCCTGGAGGGTGGGCAGCTGCAAATTTCCCACGCCGGGGCTGAAGCCCGCAAGGAAAGGAGAGAAAGACGGGAGAGAAGGGAAAAGGAGAGAGCTCGCGGGAGGAGTTCCCGTCACCGCAGGGTGGGTGAAGGTCGCCGCAAGACAGCCGGGGACAAGCTGGGCCGAAAACCATCTGGCCACAGAGCCTCTCGAGAGGACAAAAAGGAGAAAGGCCGAGGCAGCCCCAGGGGCAGCAGGCACAGCCCCTCGCACAAAGGCATCAGCCACACGCCCATCACTAAGGAGTCCAGGACCTCTCACAAGTCTGGGAGGAGCCTGTCGACCACGAGCTCAGGCTCTGCAAGCAAGAGACTCAGCAGGATCAGCTCCTTCTTAAGGAATGTCAGAGCCAACCTCACTACGAAAGCGGTGGCCTCTCCACAGGGCCAAGATGTGGACATCACGGCTAAGACGGTGGAGAAGACCAACATGGAGGCCATCGTGGAGACCGGAGAAAGTGGCCAGGGAGTGGAGATCGTTGGCTCTGTGACATCTGAGATCATGGAGACAGTGACATTTGAAGCCCATTAAATCAAACCTAGATCCAGAAGCTGCAAAGGGGGCCGGGGCTCTGGGGACTATCCCAAAAGTGCCTATTCCAGCTTTCTTTACTGCAGTTCAAATAAAGATCGAGACAATCTAAGAACAGCTCACTGCCTTCTGTCTGAATGCCCACAGCCCTGTCGTGACCTAATAGTAGACTCTATGATGTCAACAGCATTGGAGTCAGCCCTGTTCCAGTAGGGGTGGGGAGGAGGACCCCCTTCATTCCATGCTGGACAGAACCAGTGTGACTCTCTGTCTTGCCCCAACCCTTCTCTGGCTTTGGCTCCCCAGTGGAGCTCACAGTCCCAGAAGCTCTCCTTCCACCAGCTCCCTATCCTTTTTCTAAGCTTTTCTTCCTTCTAAAGTCCCTAGATAAGGCAAGACCAGGACCCTCACCTTCTCAGATTATTCAGGGGAGAGGCAGAGGAGCAAGAACATGCATATTCAGACTTTGCAATTCCATTCCTGGGTATATATACCCCAACAGACGCGCGCGCGCACACACACACACACATGCACAAACACACACATACATTTGAGAAGCCAGCTAGGAGAAAGTTTATGAAAAATAAATTTAATAGCAAAACACTGGAAAGATACCAAATTTCAACAGAAGATCAATAAACATAGTGAGATGTGAATACAGTAGGCTACTCCCACAGAGACAAATGAATGGCTGCTCCACATATCAACATAGATAAATGCTGCTCGTAATGCTAATTTTTTTTTTTTTAAAAAGCAAATCACAGAACAGAATGTAAATGTACTTACAGAACAGTTCAAAAACAAGATCAAATAACACATTGCATGCAGGTTGGGTAAAACCATAGACAAAACCAAAGAAATAGTAAACAGATTTGGAAGGTATTTTTATGGCAGGAAAAGAGGATGAAGTGGACTTTGGGTGGCTGGGAATTGTTTTTGTGGGTACAGGGGCATTTATTTATTGTTGTCTTACACATTTTTACATATCCAAAACTGGTGGCCATAGTAGTGATGAGGTTGCTGTCCCAGACCTATCTTCACCCATTTCTTTCCTTTATGCTTTCATTTTTTATGAATGCACAGAAATGGTTTGCTATGAAAGCCTCTCTCATTAAAACTCAGTGTTAAGTGACACATACAAGAAGCCTTGGTTGGTTATTAGGAAAAGAGGAGGACACTAAGGGCCAAGGAGGTGCCTTGCCCTGGTCACACAGCGGAACCTTTGCAGAACATAGAGCACCAACTATCTCTTTATGCAAAGCTCTACCTGAGGTATGCGGAAGAGGTCAAGTGAACAAGTCTAAGGAGACAGGGGCACTACAAGAACCCAAGACTCAGCAAAACACTACAGAGATGATCATCAGATTACTGGACTGAGAGGGAGCGGTGGGGGCTGGGGAGACTCCTGGTAGGGAGACACTGTGAGCTGGGTTTTGAACTTCAATGAGCTCCCTGCCCTTAGCAGACCTTATATCTAAAGAGCATCCAGACCACCCTCACCTGTGTCTGGCTCCCAGGCCTCTGCACCCCGTCTCTGCTGTGGCCATACCACAGCTATAAACAGACCCCTGCCTAAAATTGCAGGCCTTGCCTTCCACCAGGGACTCCTGCCTGCGCTGCACCACCCTGCAGCACAAGGCCTTACCCAGCTGCTAACAACTCAGGAAAGCCAGGCGGCTCCTGCATATCAAATCTTCAGGAGTGTTCTAGGATTCCAAAAATAAATCCTTAAACCTCCCAAGGCGGGGATTATTATAGTGGGCATGGGGTGGGGGGGTCTCAGGACCTATCTTGGGCAAAGTCCCTGTTTCCCAGGATGAGGAGTTGTTGGAGTGAGTCAAGTTATTCTTAGGAATGGAGGAAACATGCCAAAGATTAGATACAAATTGGCCCTGCCTAGAAAACAGCCTCAGAATCATTAACCCAGAGCTCCAGAGACTGGGGGTGGGGGCAGGAGGGAGATGATGACTCCAGGGAGACCAATTAATGGTTTACTCCTGAGCAGCTTTTCCTAGCTTTTCCCTTGACTCAATGTGGGGAAATTACCAAAAGATCACATCACATTCCTTTCATCTTATGAATGCTATGTCGGCAAGTGTAGGTAAACACTAGCCTAGAAGACAAAAATGCAATCAAAACATTTGCACAGCACTTGGCAGCTTTAACATACATGCTCAATTGCCACCACCAGCAAACTAGAGTCCAGGACCCTTGTTCATGGTGGGAAGTGGTGGCACAGAGAGGGGGCAACGCCTGCAACATCTTGTGTGTAGCGCATACAATGTGGCCAGTGGCCCTGAGTCCCACACAGTGGGGCAGAGCCGGTGCAGCACAGACAGGCTGGCATATGAGGCACAATCCCAAGGGCCAGACACACTGAGATCTGTGTTTGGGAAACAGCATCCACTCGTGGTGGGTGGGTGGGTGGGGATTCTGGGGTGTGGGAAGGGGTTGTGAGTCAGGCAGGGCTTCAGAGACAAACTTCAAATTCTGAAGGATGACTGGGTCTCCATCAGGCAAAAGAATGAGGAGCAGGGGAGGGCTGGGGGGAGGGGACGAGGCCACAGAAAAGATGCCATGGTGTGGCGGGTGATGGTTTCAGTCTTGCTAGGGGAAAGGCAAAGGCAAAGGCAGGGCAGGGACATGAGGCTAGAGGAGCAAGTGGCTGGATCTTTGGGGGGGGGGGGGGTCTGGCTGCCATGTGAATGTCCTGACCTTTGGAGGTCACTAAAGGCTGATGCTGGGTCAATAATAGGATGTCTCCAGATCCAGGATGAATAGCTGATGGGCAGGGGGCTGTCGGGGGGCAGAGGATCCTTCTGTAGCTGCAACAGATGGGGACCCCGGAACCTAAGTGGTTATTGCAAGACAAAGGGGGCAGAATCGGGAGAGCTGGAAGAGGAGAGGACTGGGAGCTCACAGCTGAGGTCTGGCACTCCTGCAGAGGTGAAATGAACAGGCACCGTCTTCCCACAGGACTGCTGGTCTGTTAAGTGGGCAGCAAAAAGATGGACTTGTGGGAAAGCAAAGAGGAAAGGTATAAACAGTTTTGAGATGGTGAAGAGGTAACACCCAGGCTAAGGCAGCTAAAGGGGCTGTGGGGCTTCAGCATGGGAGACCTCTGGGAGGAGAACCCCACCTCCCACCCCCTGCCCAGTGTTTTTCTTATTCATCTGCCTGGGAGCCAACCTATTATGGGCAGAAGAGTTGCCCAGCAGAGCCCCTTGTGGCTACATGCATGACTGCAGGTGGCCCTTGAATTGAGGTAAGCTGTCACTGAGGTTGAATGCCAGTGGCTCTTTACCTTTGTCACACCACAATGAGCCCAATGCTGATTAACAGGTCACCAGCCCAGTCTCAGTGGGCAGCCACCCCTGCAGCAAGTAGCAGCCAATGAGGATGTGCCATTTCCCTGCTGTCCAGCGCTGGCCCTCTGGCAGTAGGGTGGCAGATTGTGGAATGGCCACAAGACAGTTCCTTCAGGGGCTGCCACTCCAGGGAACAATATGTGACCACCAAGAATAGGGGTAGAGGAGTTAGGTAAGCTCAGGATCCCTCTGCAGTCTGGAAGTCAATTGAGAAACAATTGTTTCTCACCTACTATGGACAAGCGAAGAAATCAAGGACCATGAAGGTGATCTCTCTCTCTCTCTCTCTCACACACACACACACACACACACACACACACACACCAGCATTACAAAATGTGGTGGCTCCAGGAAGGGTGTAGGCGAAGGCTTAATAGTGGGGAGATCTGAGCAGAGACAGGCTGAGCATTCCCGGCAGAGGTAATGGCAGGACAAACAGAAGGGCTTTGGAGAGCTGGGCGTGTTCACAGACAACAGACACATGCAGCGTGCCCAGGGCATAACGTGTGTTGAGCTCAGTGATGGAATAGTGTAAGCGGTGGGGAGGAAGAGGAAGTGGTGTGGTGGAAAATATGGCCGGAAGGCAAGGCAAGGCCACTGCGTAGAGAAGAGGACCAGAATGCTACATTGCTGTCCCGAAACCTCGGGTCTCCACTCCTGCCAGTGGGACCTGTGACCTAGGCTGAGAGGGGTGCCCAGCTGGGTTCTCCAGGAAAGGAAGAGCAAAGGAAACCCCGGCTCTCTCCCTCTGGTGGTTCAGGGAACTGGAAACGTGTTGTGGAGGCCCCTGTCTTCCCACATACTCTCTGATGGGAGTCTCTCCACAGGTGTGCAAGGTATTGATACCCCTCACCCTGGGAGCAGCCACAGGATGAGGCCGGTTGGCACTGGCTTTCAAGAATGGCTGGCATTTGGGGGAGGCATCTTTTCTATTTATTTATGTTTTAAAGTTTCCTTCTGCTTCTAATTTTCTTGTGCCCATTCATTCATTTATTGAGAGGCAGAGAACGGAGATGGCCCATGTAACAGGTCCATTCTCCAAATGCCCACAATAGCCAGGGCTGGGCCAGGCCAAAGCCAGGATCCAGGAACTTAATTTGAGTCTCTCACATGAGTAGCGGGAACCCAACTACTCAAGCCATTACCTGCTGCCTCCTAGGGTGCACGTTTGCAAGAAGCCAGAATCAGAAACAGAGATGGGACTTAAACCCAGGCACTCCAATGTGGGATGCAGGTGTCTTAACCTCTAGGCCAACTGCCCACCCAGGGAAGCATCTTTCTAGATATGCACACACATGTACACAGCACTGCATGTGGACACTGGTACAACAAAGAGCAGCTGAGATGCACTCCTTTGGTAGGCTGGCCTGCTTCTCCCAGCTTCAGTTGATACCAGCAATGTCATTAATGTCGTCAGAGCCCCAGAACCTGCTATTCTGAAGCTTATACTGGTTCAAGGAGACATGAGAACAATATGGACAAATACAGTGGGTTTTTCATAGCACTTCATAAAGCTAAATTTGTCTTTCACTTTGACATTTGTTTCCTTCTTTCATTTAAGCCATTCTGGTGGGATGCTGTGACTTTTCTCCCTTTTGCATGATAAAATATCCTTTAAAAATATGATATGGTGACCCACAGACCGTGCTAGTTTTGTTACAACATCCTTCATGTGAAAAATTTAAAGTAGACTTCTGTATTATTTTTGAAAAATCACACATCCCTGAAATTTTGGAGTCTTTTAAATAC